ATAAAAAAGTTTGGGTTAACCCAAAATAAAGATTTAAAAATAAAACAAATAATAAAATCAGATACTCAAATATCATAAAATATCGAAAAAGATTCGTGGAAAATAAAAAACGAAAGTAAAAACATAAAAATGTATTCGATAAACTTTAACGAACACATAAAAGCAGAAGAGTTTGAAATACAGATAGACCATTTAAACTATCAGAAGAAAAATGAAATAAATAAAATATTAAATGAATACAAAACAATATTCGCCAAGGATAAATATGATATTGGGACCGTCAAAGACTATGAGGCCCACATAGATTTGCTAGTGGATAAATATTGCAGTAAAAGGCCATACAGATGCACTATCGAAGATAGAGAAGAAATAGAAAAACAAATATCTACATTACTACAAAAAAATTTAATAGAAGAATCATACAGCCCCTTTGCAGCTCCAGACACACTGGCCTATAAAAAAGATGATGGAAAAAGATCAAGGTTATGTATTGATTTTAGAGACTTAAATAAAATTATTGTTCCACAGGCTCAACCATTTCCATTAATAGAAGATTTAATAGTCAAAACACGAAATTGCAAATATTTTACTACATTAGATATAAATTCAGCATTATGGTCCATACCACTACGGATCGAGGACAGAAAAAAAACAGGTTTTGTAACACAAGATGGACACTTTCAATGGACCTGTCTTCCTTTTGGCTTAAAAACATCACCAGCAATTTTCCAAAGGATACTGAGTAACATCTTGAGGAAATACAATCTCTCAGGATTTGCGGTAAATTACATTGATGATATACTAATATATTCACATTCTTTTGACGAACACACGCAACATATAAGACGGGTACTAGAAGCAATAATAAAAGAAGGATTCAGACTTAAATTTCAAAAATGTACATTCGCTTCAGACTCGGTGAAATATTTGGGTCATATAATTAAAAATAATTCAGTACAGCCATTAAAAGATAATTTAATTTCAATAAAAAATTTTCCAACCCCAACAACACAAAAAAATATTAGGCAATTTCTAGGAAAAATTAACTTTTATCATGAATTTATACCAAGTTGTGCAATAATATTAGACCCATTACATAATTTATTGAGGAAAAATGAAAAATTTATTTGGACTGAAAAATATGAAAAATCATTTAATACAATAAAAGAGTTTCTATGCTCTCAGCCTATAAGAGAGATATTTGATAAAGATTTACCGATAAAAATATACACAGACGCATCTTTAGAGGGCGTTGCAGCAGTATTAAAGCAAACACAAAAAGATAAAAAAGATAAGTCAGTAGCATATTTTTCAAGAAAATTAAATAAAGCTCAAAAAAAGCATAAAGCCATATACCTAGAATGTTTAGCAATAAAAGAAGCCGTACAATACTGGCAACACTGGCTTATAGGTAAAAAATTTACAGTATATTCAGACCACAAACCTTTAGAAAACATGAACATAAAAGCCAGAACGGATGAAGAGTTAGGAGATCTAACATACTATTTATCTCAATATGATTTTGTAATAAAATATATACCAGGTAAAGAAAATTTAGAAGCAGATTGTTTAAGTAGAAATCCGGTATTAGAAGCTGAAGAAAACAAAGATGAATTATTGAAAATTGTGAACTTAATAGAAATCAAAGATATAATGTCAGACCAACTGACAAATGAAATTCAAAAAAATAAACAAGGCTGGATTAAAAGAAACCAAATTTACTATAAAAAAACGAAATCCAATGAAAAAATTATTTTATCAGAAGATTTTAGTAAAAAAATTATAAAAACAACGCACGAGAACTTGTGTCACATCGGAATCAGACAACTGCAAAGAAAAATAAGCTCAATATATACAGCGAAAAATCTAACTAAAAACATAAACAATATTTGTAAAAATTGCGAAATTTGTAAAAAAAATAAATCAAGAGGCCAAGAAAAATTTGGACTAATGTCGCAATTAGGCCCAGCAACAAAACCATTCGAAATAATGTCTCTTGACACAATTGGCGGTTTTGGAGGATCCAGATCAACAAAAAAATATTTACACCTACTGGTTGACCACTTTACCAGATACGCCTTAATAATAACCTCAAAAACGCAAAATGCAAGTGATTTTATTAAATTATTAAGGTATGTATTAGAAACAGATGAAATAGGAATACTTCTAGCAGACCAATATCCAGGTATTAATTCTAAGGAATTTAAAGAATTCTTAGATAACAATAATGTAAAACTAATATTTACAGCAGTAAATTCACCATTCTCGAATGGCTTGAATGAAAGACTAAATCAAACATTAGTCAACAAAATAAGATGTAAAATGAATGAAAAACAAGGAAAAAAAACTTGGACAACAATAGCACGAGAATGTGTAGATAAATATAATGAAACAGATCACTCAATCACAAATTTTGCACCAAAATATTTATTAGACGGGACAGATGTAAGTATACTGCCGACGGAATTAAAAATAAAAACAACTGAGGAAAAATGGATTGAAGATAGAAAGAAAGCATTAGAGAACACAATCAAATCGCATAACTATAACAAAAATTTATTCGACAAAAATTGTAAAAATTATGAATTTAATATAGGAGATTATGTCTACGTAGAAAACGGACACAGACTAAATAGAAAAAAATTAGATGAGTTAAAAATTGGACCTTTTAGAATAATAGATAAAATATCAAATTCTATCTACAAAATAAATACGAATAAAAACAAAATTGAATCTACCTTCTACCATATAACTAAACTGCAACCAATTGAAATGGAGAATGATGAAGAAGACTGATCAAAAAACAAAAAAAAAAAAAAAAGAAAAAAAAAAAAAAAAAAAAACAATACGATTACTGATTTCCGCTGCGGGAGGGGAGATGTAAAGAAATAGTACTTCTTTAAATTCAAATATTGCCGCGCATTGCGCGGTTATAGATAAGACGATGATAAAAGTATATAGAGGGAACCACGAAGACTAATGGAAGAGAGAAGGAGACAGAAGATATAGAGAGGTTAAGAGAGATAAGCACGTGTTGAGAAAAGTAGATAAAAGAGATAGGAAAGACGTTATTTAGAGAAATTATAATATTAATTGTAATAGAGTAAATAGAGAAGTGATAAATAATAAACTTTAATTGTCGTTTCTTTGTTTACAGGTAAGACAGTTGTAAATAAATAATTATAAGAGTAATATGTAATACTAAATAAAAATATATAAACTTTGCTTACAGAGAAACAAATTCTAGTTTATATTTCTCTAAGAAATCCTCTACATAGATAAAATAACCTTATATATATATATATATATATATGCATGCTTATATAATTATATGAATGCCATAATATTATAAATCAAACAATATACGAATCATTTTTCGTGACTCCCTCCTAATAACAGAACTAATTTTAACTATCGATTTTTAGTTTTTTTTTAAGTCCACATTATTTTCTTTCGAACTTTCTTATAATTTATAATTATTCAATACAATCTAAATTCAATACATTTACTTTTCCTTTTCTTTTCTCGAATAAAATGCCCAAATGAGTAAAAAAATTATCCCAACTAGCAGAATAACTTCAAACGACTCGAAGCTTACGCGATCCCAAACGCGCAGCAATCCCCAACTGAAAAGCCTCCTACATAAAGAGTTAGAAAAAAACGCATTCAGAAGAAGCAGCAAGATACAATACTCACCTACAAAGAAAACCAAGGAAACACAAGCAGAAATTTCAAGAACCGAAGATTCATCAGCAACTCAAACAGAAGAACAAGATTCAGTTTTACAAGAAAACAACTTTTCAACGATAAATACCACAATAGACCTTGATAGAAATCAACGATACTCAGACTTTGGAGGAATTTACAACGAACAAAGCCTGATCTTAGGAACTTCAAAAGATATATTTTTAAATCTTGAACTACAAAGTCAAGAGGAAGGAAAAACATTTCCCGAAAAAGATAAACAAGAAATCATAATTCAAAAAAATTTTGAAAATAATCTACAGAAGGAAAACCCACGGAAAAGCGATTTTCTAGCATTAGTAAACATCGACACACTCATCGAAGACCCGTCTACCACAAAGCAAAAAACAAAAATCATTAGAGAAAATTCTACGCCATCAATTAATAAAATACCTACAAATATGGATAACCAAGAAAAACCAATGAAATTACAATTGAAAGACGTAGCAGCCTTCGTCGCAGAGTTCGATGGCAAAAACATATCACCTATGGAATACATATCCATGTTAAAAGAAGTAAAGGATATTATAGACGACATCGATGAGAGAAATCTTACAAAACTATTAAAAATAAAAATTAAAGGTGAAGTAAAAGAAGCCATAAGAGGAAGCAAAGTGGAAAATATAACAGACCTAATCAATACAATCAGAACTCTATACCCCATCAAAGAAGACATACACGCATTATATGCAAAAGTTCGTCAGATATCACAAGAAGAAGATGAATCAGTTGTACACTATACTAACAGAATACGACAATTAGTATTGAGAATAAAAGAACTAAATAAATGGGAAGACACTACAGCAATAGAACGAACACAATTCGAAGCTACACTAGACAAAGAAGCAGCTAAAAGCTATAGAAAAGTATTAAAAGCAGAAATTAGATATGAAATAGGCCCAGGAACCACAGTACAAGAAATGTCGACAAGGGCAATAGACATCGAAAGCGACATAGAAAAAAGGAAATACACAACAAAACCAAATAGAAACTAAACACATTCGAACAATAAAGAAGAATTTCAGGAAACAAAAATTCTCACATGTTAAATATGCAGAGAATTTTCACATAAAGCTCTATTTTGTCGCACGGCAGCCTGCGTGTATTGTAAAGGAACAGATCATTTCTCGAATAGTTGCAAGAGAGTGCCAAAGAAAATTAATCTAATATGCAAATTCTGTAGCCAACCAAGCCATTCAATAAGTGCCTGTCGTTTAAACAAAAGGCAAAATATACACTGCCAATATTGTCAAGAAATGGGACATGAAGTAGATCAATGCCCACATATCAGTAACTACGAAGCATGCTGGAAATGCAACGAAACAGGACACAACCCAATAAATTGTAAGAATGACCAAACTTCAAAACAAAACAAATGTGAAAATTGTGAGAAGATTGGACATACAATGCAACAATGCCCGGAAGTAATATGCAGAAAGTGCAATAATATGGGCCACCTCGTAAAAGATTGTAAAGCAGGAGAAATAAAAAAGTCCCTATACAAAATATGTGCTATCTGTGAAGAAGTAGGCCACGAACAAGACACCTGTGACCAAGTAAAAATCATGTTCACAGAATTCAAAGCTAAACAGAAATTTAAGTGCCAGTATTGTGAAGAGACAGGCCACACAGCTAAGCCCACTCCTAAAAACGCAATCGCAGCAAGTTCAACAAACCCAACACCTATCATATAATTCAAATCATAATGGATTCCAAAGGAAAGGCTGTGCCTACTGCAAAAGTCCAGGACATAATATAAACGAGTGTAGAAAACTAAGCGCATTAATGAACAACACACCAACAAATCAACAAAAAATATGCGAATTTTGCAAGAAACACGGCCACATAATTGATGAATGCAGAATAATCCTATCACGACAAAAACGAGCCGGCGAATTCTGCGAAAAATGTAAAATAGCCGGTCATACAACACAAAATTGCTTTAGAAATAAAGGAAGAGCGGGAAACTTCGAGGCCCTTTCTGGAGGGAACGCCTAGAAAGGGAACACAACGAAAAAGCGCTCCCACAACAAAAAAATACAAAAACACAACAAATCAAAAACACAGTCAACATAGAAGCAAAAACATACGTATTGAAAATGGAAAATTTACTGCAATATATTGAAGTCGATGATCCATATTCACACAAGAAACTCAAATTGTTGATCGATAGCGGAGCTCAACTAAACATCATACAAAATAACAGTATTTCAAAACGAGACATAAATAGCAATGAACAGATATTGATCTCCGGAATAACCGACAAGTCTATCAAAACCCTAGGATCTACGAAGATACCAATACAAAACACATACTTTGATTTCCATGTAGCTCCGGACACTTTCTCTATTCCATACGATGGAATTCTAGGAATAAACATTTTCTTAGACTACAAGGTGAGACTAGATGAAGGAAATCAATGGAGAAAAAATACTCGTAAAATCTACAAAAGATAAACACACAACTCCCACAATTACTACACTACAAGAAAAATCGATTGTTACTTCAAACCAAGAAGCCAACAATACAAAAGAAATTACAGGAAAATATGACACTACATCAAAAGATGAAGACATATCATTATATCAAGATCTAGCAAAAATATTAACGACAGTAAACGAAATAAACACGCAAGAAAAAGAAAAAACAGAGCAAGCACAAGAGGAAGGCGACGAACAAACGTATCAAGAAAATTTAGCAAAATTCATGGAAAATATAAACGAAGCTCTTGAAAATAAAAAAGAGCGAACAGAAGAAGAATACATCATGGACAACTATTATACCTTTTGTTCGATATTAGAACAAAAAATAAAAATAGAGGACAATACAAAACAAAATATACACATACAAGAAGCAGAATTATCAGATAATGAAACTATAGATACACAAAAAGAAATACAAAGGGAAATTACACAGGAAAAAGCCCCAGAAACTCAAGACACGAAAGAAAGACGAAACCGACTGATTGAGACAGTAAAGCTAGATCACTTAACCCACAATAAAAAACGAGCAATAGAGAACTTGATCATATCATTCGAAGACATATGCTGGCTAAAAGGAGATGAACTCGGCATGTGCAATATCGAAGAACACGAGATCAACTTAACAGACGAAAAGCCAGTATATATCAAACAATTTCCTTTGCCCTACACACTGAAACAAAAAACAAGCCCAAAGGAAAAAACAATAGTAAACATTCAAGATTACCCACCAGAAATCACGACAAGCAAAACAGATCTAGAAAAACAGAAACATGTAGTCTTCACAAAAAAATCCATAGAATCACGGAACGACAACGTTGCAATATTTGTAAACCAATCACGACAAATATTAGACAAAAAAATGGAACAATTTATAAAGTCAAAGAAAATCAATATCGATAAAGACCTTCGCACAAATGAAATCGAAATTATAAAAATAAATTCAAAAAAATTATTCATTCTATACATAGACTCAGGCCAATCAGCAATAACAATAAAACAAAATATCACCCACATCTTAGGATCCCTGAAAGAAATTATGACACAACAAAAATAAAATAGATTCAGCATTTCAAAAGACCTACAGATAAACAATATCCATTGGCAAGAAATAGAAGAAATAATCGCAAAAACCTTTCAGAACTCAGGAATTAACATAGTTATTTGCTTAAACTATATAGAATATATCGAAATCAAAGACCGAGATTGAATATTCAATCTGAATCACTCATCCGCCTTAGGAGGACACTCAGGAGTAAATAGAACATTAAATCGCATCAAACTCAAATATTATTGGGAAAATTTAAAAACAGACATAGAACAAAGAATAAAAAATTGCGAAGACTGCCAGAGAAATAAATTAAAAAGAGTAAAGACAAGACAACCAATGGTTATAACGGAAACACCGTTTAAAACTTTCGACAAAATTGCTATGGATATAGTAGGTCCACTAAATTTTTTTTTTTTTTTTTTATTTATTTCCACGTTTATTTACAATCTGTCTCGCCGTTTGAGACAATAAGTAAATTTAATTACATTTAGCGAAGTTTACATTATTCTAGTCAGGATACTCCTTTGAGTTTCTGAATTTGTTTTACATTATGATTAAGAGACTATATATTCAATTATATATCCATCGGATTACGTGCTTAATATTTTATGTTTCTTTAGTCTGGTGTTTGTGATGGAAGTCTTGAGAAGATTGTTGACGAGTTCGTTAGGATGCTTATGGAGTCTTGCATTATATTTTCCGTAGAATGATTTAATTTCTTCTTTGACTGATGAAACTTGTAGATCATTTCTAATTATTTCGTTTGTGACGAACCATGGGGCTCGGACTATGTTACGTAACACTTTCGATTGAAATCTTTCCATTATTTCAATATTCGAGATTGAAGCAGCGCCCCATAGCTGAATACCATAAGTCCAGATAGGTTTGAGTACAGTTTTGTATAGCAACAGTTTATTTTCGATCGTCAGCTCCGAATTTCCTCCCATGAGCCAGTACATTTTCCTCCATTTCAGTCCTAGTTGTTTGCGTTTACTAAATATATGTTCTTTCCATGTAAGTCTTCTATCTATGTGTATGCCTAGGTACTTTACTTGATTGCTTTGAGGGATGTATTTATCGTTTAATTTTATAGGTGGACAGGTATCTTTCCGAAGTGTAAACGTAGTATGTGTTGATTTGCTTTCATTCACTGTTATTCTCCAAGAGTGAAGCCATTTTTGAAGATAGTTGTCTATGTATATTTGTAGTATTTCTGATGCTATTGCCGGCTCTGTGTGTACTGTTAAAATTGCTGTGTCATCTGCATATGTTGCTGTTAGAATGTTATTGGATTTTGGTAGATCCGCGGTATAGAGTAAATAGAGTATTGGGTCAAGAACACTGCCCTGTGGCACGCCTGCTGTTATGAGCTGTCGTTTTGATTTAATATTATTTATTTTGATCTGGAAGGTTCTATTTTGCAGGTATGACTGAAGTATTTCGTAGTGTTGTACAGGAAAACATGATTTCAGTTTATGTAGTAGTCCCTCATGCCAGACTTTATCGAAAGCCTGTGCAACATCAAGGAAAATGCCAGTGCAGTACTTTTTTTCTTCGATTGCCTTTCTCGCAGTAAGTGTTATTCGGTTTACTTGTTCTATAGTAGCATGATTACATCTGAAGCCAAATTGATGATCTGGGATAAGTTTTCTGTTTAATATAATTGGGTTAATTCTGGCTAAAATTAATTTTTCTAAGATTTTAGAGAATATGGGTAGAAGGCTCATCGGTCTGTATGAAGTCACAAGTTCTGGTGCTTTACCAGGTTTGGGAATCAATATAATCTCCGCTATTTTCCATTGTGTGAGAAAATGGCGTAGGCGGAGGCATGCATTAAAAATAATTGTAATAAATCTTACTGCTATAATGGGTAACATTTTAATCATTTTTCCGGTAATATTATCAGATCCGGGGGCTTTTTTGTTTTTAATATTTTTAATTATTTGTAATACTTCCTTTATTTTTATCGATTTGATAGGAGTTCTATCTTGAACTTCCGTAGTTTCAAGTAAGGTATCTTCTTCTTGCTCTGTGATAGTTCTTTTATGAGGGGTGAATACTGTGCTGAAGTGATCCGAGAATGCTTCTGCTTTTTCCTCGTCTGTTTTAGCCCAATTTCCTGCCGGTTTTCTAATTGGTGGTATGAACGTTACTGGTCTTTTGAGACGTTTATTAGCTTTCCATAGCGAGTAGTCTGTTGCTTCTGTCGGGCTCAGATTTTGGAGATAGTTCTGCATTTGTTTATTTTTTTCTTCATGTAACATTTTTTTCAGTTCTTTGGCTGCTTTGTTTACTCTTGACTTATCTTGGCTTGATCTGGTTGCTTGGTACCTTTTTCTTATTACTCTTTTTTCTCGAATTTTTTGATCGATTTCGCTCGAGTTTCTTATCCTTGTTTTATTTCTGTTACACTTAGTAGAACATTTATAGATAGCTTCGTTAAGAAGTGAGTTAAACGAATCTATGCTGCTTTCTATGTTTATGACTGTTTTGAGGGGAACATTGCATGATATGCGTTCCTCTATATAACGGGTATATTTCTTCCAGTCAACTTTATTATAATTTTTATCTGTGGTTGTTACTTGTGATAATAGTGTGATTAATGCCGGCGAGTGGTCTGAGGTTAAGTCTAAGCATGACGATGTTTTAAAGTAATTTTTGCTTATTCCTTTTACTATTGCAAAGTCTATTAGATCTGGAAGCTTTTTAACGTCTGCTGGCCAGTATGTTGGTTCTCCCGTGGATATTGGAGTGTAGTTATTTGCTTGCAGTATTTCGTACAGAACTTTTCCTCTGTATGTTGGAGTTGGTGATCGCGATCCCCACCATGGGTGTTTAGCATTATAATCGCCTCCTGCTATAAAGCGGTTTCCCAGTGAATGAAAGAAATCTGTCCAGTTTTCTTTTGTTATTGTTTTATTTGGGGGACAGTAGATAGCTGATATAGTTATCGGTCCATATTTATCCTTGATGACTACACTCGTCGCTTGTAGGTAGGTTTCGGTAGTCTGTGAATGAAAGTAATGATTTATTTTTGTTTTAATTATAATTGCCGTACCTCCGTGTGCTTTATTAAGTGGGTGGTTTGTTGTATATACTGTGTAGTTTGGGATGCTGAGATAGTTCTTGCTTGTGAAATGTGTTTCTGATACCAGTATGATGT